GAAATTTGGTAGTAAAAGTGAGGTAAGTCGGTATGATTTGGCTTCCTTTTGCAGGTAAGCCCATGATTATAACTGGAAATAATTTTCTACTTCAAAAAGTTGCGTTCATTGGCAGTATTTTGTGTACCAAAATTCATATCTATACCTAAAGCAGTTTTTTGTGTTTTTATATACAGAAATATTTCTCAAATTCATGATCGTAAGCTCGTAGGTTAATAGGCGAGCGGTTCACCCCTAAATCGATGCTTCTAAATGAAGGTAACCGACTAAATTTTTAAAACAAAAACCTACAGCATGAAACTTTTTTATTTTATATAGTGTATTCTTCTGATAATTTACATAATTTTTTTATATTTTTCGGCGTGGGCAGTCAATAACTAAAAATGTTGTAAAAAAAATTACTCACCCAGTTTTTTATTATACAATGGACCAAAATAAACACCTTTTGTTCTTTAACAAAAATTCTAAAAAGCTTCGTTTCCGAGATATTTATAATTTAATGTAAAAAAAGTGACGAAATCGACAAACTTTCGGAATTTTTTTCTCAAAAACTACTAAACAGTTTAATTCTAAAAAAGCACAATAATCGGCAGATCTTCTACTTTAAGATATATTTATTTGGCATAGATCAATTATTTTACTGAAGGTCTAATGCGAGTAAAAGAAACAGTCTACAAATAGTGAAATTGTAACTCTAGATCCATTGACACATGGATGGAAACCGAAAATGGTTGTTTGGATTTTAATTATTTCGAAGGAGAAACTGCATTAGATATGCTTCAAAAATATTTTTGTTCATATAATGGAAAATGTTCTATGTTCCATCCGAAATTGATGATGAAACGCTTATTTCAACTCAAGAACTTGTCGAAAATAACGAAAAACTTATTATTTAAAAATTAAATAAAAAATAAATTAATATACTTTTATTGCTCTTAATATTTTTGTAAAATAAAAATAAAATAATTATCCTATACAATAAGTTATCCAATAACTTTTTTATTTTTCGAGACCGCTAGGTCAATTATTATTGTTAAGTTAATTTTACGATTTAAAAAGCTCATTTAGTTTAGTTTTGGTATAATTTTCAGTCAATTTTAGACATTTATAAAACCAAATATCGAATATTTAAATTTTACTAATTATTTGCAAAAACCTTACTCCGGCTACAAAATCAAACAAAATTTTTGAACATTTGTACTGTTAACATATATCGATTAAAAAAAATCATATTAATGTTCATTGTAAATATAATCTAAACCAAGATATTGTAAAAAGAAAATTTAAATTTGAAGTGTTAGCATAATTTTCTTTAAAAAACTTTTTTTACTCGCTTTAGATCTTCAATAAAATGATTGACCCATACCAAAAAAATATATCTTAAAGTAGAAAATCTGCCGATTATTATGCTTTTTTAGAATTAAAATATGTTCAGTAGATTTTGAGAAAAAAATTCCGAAAGTTTGTCGATTTCGTCACTTTTTTCACATTAAATTGTAAATATCTCGAAAACGAAGCATTTTTTGAATTTTTCTCAAAGAACAAAAATTGTTTATTTTGCTCCATTTTACAATAAAGCCATTCGGCGTGTAATTTTGTTATACAACTTTTTTGTTTATAACAATCGACTGACCATGCCGAAAATTATAAAAAAGAATATATAAATTATCAGAAAAATACACTTTATAAAATAAAAAAAGTTTCATGCCGAAAGTTTTTGTTTTAAAAATTTAGTCGGTTCATGCCTTCTTTTAGGGGTGAACCGCTCGCCTATAAGAATTACCGCAAATATCTGCAGAAAAATAGAAATTTCAGATACTTATCTCAGTTGCAAAAGTACACTTTGTCAAATGACATATTATAAAACTACGAAAAACACCTGTAAGTCAGTCAGAGTATAAAGAAACTGACAATTTTTAATATCTGTGTTAGCAATATGTGTTTAATTTAGCTGTACCTCTTAGAACCACTATTGAACGACAAATACCCTTAATTGTGTAAATCTCAGACCCCCTTTTAGTACCCTATATGGCAATTCTTGCACAGCGGCATTCACTTGGCCGCGTGGTGCCTGTCAAAGTACTAACCATTCGAATTTAACCTACACACTTTCGAATATCTAACTGTGTAGTTAGAAGCACTAAGTGTTTGATGTTTAGCAGGCCGCAGCACCCGTAGCGACGAGACCAGGGCGCCATCTTTCAGGACGAACGAGTATTGCGGCAGGATAGTCCTCAGGTTCCTTTGACGGAGCACAACTCGATCCGGACAGCAGAATGAACTATGGCGCAGATGCCTTCCCCGCGCCTACGTCATTACAGGTCCGCATTTGTTCGAGCTCGCACGCTGGCGAGACCTGACAGTCCAGCATAGAGATGGGCAATACGGATCTTTTTAATGATCCGCATGATGCGAAATGTATCGACATAAAGATCCGCATCAAAAGATCCGCATCAGGGAATCGTATTCACTGTGGATGTACAAGTACAGTTTGTACTTGTACATTTTGTAAATGTGTGGGCTTGCCGCTCACTCATTCCCGTTAAATTTTTTGCAATCATCTATAAATTAATTTTTTAGCAGAACGATGAACTTAAGTAGAAACGAAGCAATAATATATTTGAACTCAAGTTGAGCATCAAATTATTTTCGGTCAAGCGATTCAACATTTAAATACGAAGTACACATCACTCTGACAATTACTTTTTACATTATAAGTTTGTTTCAGACTACACAATTTCATATAATTTATTTCAATATTTAGTTTCCTATGCACTAAACTGTTTCTAATGCATCGTATCTCATCGACCTGTATCGGACACGAGAATCAGTTGAGAGTGTTGAGACCGATTCATTCCCAATTCGCATTGATGCGGTGATGCGAACATACGAAATTATTTTTATACCGGTATACGTATGAACTGATTCCCAGTATGCGTGCGCCTCCCATTTACTCATTCCTGTATCGCATACGAGAATCAGTTGATACCGATTCACTTCACTTCAGTCTCAACTTACATTGATGCGGTGATGCGAAACATATGAAATTATTTTTGCATCGGGATCCGCATGAATCGATTCCCACTAGAGATCCGTATGATTTATACGTATGATGCGGATCTTGCCCACCACTAGTCCAGCAAGTCGGGGGACTGGCCTGGATCTCGCCCGAGACCGAGCAATGTCGCAGGAAAGCCTATAGACGCGAAAACCTCCACACAAAAAAATACAGCACGTGACCAAAAGTTAATACAGAGTTTAGTTGAAACGGGATCGTTTCTATAAAGACAAAAAATAGCTCATTTAGCAATATAGGGTGTCCCAATATACTCCTGCAAAATAAGCAGATTTAACCAAACTTACCTCTATTCTAAGTTGCTTACCGCGAGAGGGCACGAATGTTGGATTAATAGATAATTAGATAATTACCAGAGAGCGGACAATTTGTGACTTTAACCTTGAACATAGATATGTCATTCATAAACCTAGATACATTACCCATGACGCAGTGGCGTGTCGGGTATGCATAGGAAATTTACGTGATAATTCACGAAAATTTCACGGTACATACATTTTTAGGCGTTATAAAATATTTAGAAAATCAGTAATTGTATACTACATATTTCTTAAATAAAGTTCGGTTAAAAATAGTGTCGTTCTTTTAATTGGAAATTAGGAGTCAATGTAACGAATAGCCTCAGGCGACGCACATAATAGAATAGTCCAACTCACGCTCCATTCATAACAGGGCTGCAGTTTGAATTCTGACCAATAGGAATTCGATAAACGCAACCGATGTCGACGGATAGACTAGAGATGGGCGCGAGTGTCATTTCATTTCTTTAGAACTAAATTAACTTAATTATTTTCTCGTTATTTAACCTGTTCACATGATTTATGGATTTTAAATAAAGGGTACTAATTTTCGCGAGGATAATACGATATAATAATTATATTTTGCATAGTTTATACACAATACATTTTTGAACGCGTACACATCTCTACCAAAATTTGATCTATTCTTCGGGTTAAAGTCACACATTGTCCGCTCTCTAATAATTACTAATACATTTTCGATTTAAACTCGAAATAATTACGTCACACATTTACATACCCCATTCCTGCATCAGAAATGGAGCTTAAAATTGGAGCCCAGAGGAACACCCAGAAAAAATTGTGTTGAGAACGTTTTGGATAAATCTAAAGATGTTAAAACTTAACAAGACCTATAAGGTACTTGCATTATAGTAAACTTTGAGACATTATCGCGGTAAATTCAACAAAAATAATATGAATAATATTCTGTTTTTTTGTCAATGAGGATTAGAAGAAGCTAAAATTCCCTCTTCATAATCTATTAAAAAAATTGCTTGATTTTGCTATGAGCCATATTTAGTTGCTTATTCATGAAAATTTCAAATTAAAATTCCATTTTGATAACAGGTTATAAGAGAAAAACGAGGATAAAAAAACTGGCAACTCCAAATAATTATGTTCTAAATTTTATGCAACTTCACATTCCTAATAAACTTATTTTAAGCCATCTGTCTCATGCAACTCAAGACATTTCTTATGGGGATTTTGTACCTTCTTCAGAAACTAAACAGTATTAACTTTCTTTAGCTTATAGCTTTTTTTTCATAATTTGTTGGACAATCTATACCTCAAACTCTTAATTTGTACCAAATTTTTAATGCAGTGACAAATATCCAAGTTAAACAATGTTATCTTTGTTAAATAAATGAATGTGTTTGTAATAACTTGACATTAAGTCTACTACTACTCACAGTAAATATAACAAGATGTAAATAATCAGTATCTTGTACATTATTGACTATATGATGCTAAAGTGTCTGTTATATTTTTTGATAATATTCTGGCTATTAACAATTACAAGTCTCATTTCTGTGGTGAGTTTTGTAAATCATATCAAATATCCAATTAGCCAATAACTGAGGAGTTGTGTGGAGGAGGGCGCAGCTTATAATAATTCTGTATAATCACGCTTGCTGCTCCGCAGACATTGCCCGGTCCCGAGATTCCTCTAGGCCAGCCCCCAACGTTGGCTACCTCGTTAGCCTATGGGGCAAATTGACCGCCCTAGGTCACCTCGGCCATCCATTGTTATATCATTCATGACTGCATCCAGAGCCTCTTGTAACATACTTACAGCATGTTTTGTTTTATCTCTGCACCGCTCTCTAGTTTGAAGCAGCAAGAAAGCAGCACTCAGCACTGTTTTGTCAGTCGTTTATATTTATTATGTACATAAATCATAGCTTAGCTCATTCACAAAGGACATGTTAGTACCTACTTAGTACCTACATCGTTCACTGCATCATGGTTCATTGTAGAACGTACCGTTCAGGAATGGACATTTTCGGAAAGGTCAGGCAACTGTTTATAGGTTTTAGATGATAGAAGTTTAGAGTAGCATCTTTATACATAATCGTCGTAATAATAAGACATTCAATCATTCTCTTGTTTGGTACTCTTTATAACAGAAAAAATTTTGACAGAAAGTTATAAAAAAAAATTCTGATACTTAAAGAAGTATTCATATATTGTTCTGAAAACTATACTCAAAATTATACTCTATCCCATTAACTATGTTAGCATTTCTTAATTTTGAAAATTAAAATTGCAGTCTTGACTGTAACTTTGTTGCCTACAGAGATGTAGATATCGATTCTATTTTTTATTAAAAACATCATATACAGAATCTGAAATCATATGAGCCAAGTAAAGAAAATATTGTTAGCTTTACAGGGTGTCCCATTTCGCGTGAGCGCTACATAACTTTGTTATTTAAACTGAAACACCCTATATATTATTGCGTTTTGGAATTCCTTGGTTAATATTACGTAGAGTTTATTAAATGTATATGGTGTTTAAAACTTAACGTTTTCGAGATAATCAGTTGTTTTTGAAAAAACTCACGATTTCAGCTCTCTAATGGATAATGGAATATTATTCCATTATCCATAACATCCATGACCAAACAGAAACTGTATATTTCGAATGTACCATAAGTAAGTCCTCACTAGCCTATGACCATTGTGAATAAGCGCTCATTGCACGTCTCTAGCCCGTGGAAGAAACCCACGCTAATAGTTCCGTCTTGTTTCCAGGACCATGACCGCTATTTGCTTCGTCTGCAACCTTCCCATCCTGTCGCATCAGGTCGGGTTGGTATGGCAGGGAGGCAACGGATGGGACGACCTGGTGCGGGAGCAGGTAGAGGAGTCTACCATCAGGCAGAGGCTGGGGGGGCGACGGGACTCTGCCACCCAGATATGCAGCATATCGCCGCCCACGGAGCTGCAGGAAGCCTCGCCTCCACCAAGCGGCCAGACGAGGAGGCGACGCAGCTCCTTGGCCCAGCTGACGGACATCCTGAGGGAGTGGGGAGGCAGCACGAAGAAGCAGCAGAAGCAGCTGTGCCGCAGGGAGACCTTGGCGGACCTGGCCAGGTCACTTCCCTGGGGAAGGCAGAGCGCCACGGAGTCGGGCCCTACACCTAGTATCACTACTCACAGGTGCGTTTTTCGCTCATGTTTTGGATTTTACCAGAATAAGGTACAGAATAATAGAAGGCAAAATTGTTTATCCAAATTGGAAAGATCAATAGTACCACAAAATCAAAGATTGAAATTACTTATTTGTTGCATAATTTTAGTTTTTTCTCTACGCCTAAAGAAAATTAAAAGACAACGCTATTACTTTATTTAATGGTGAAAGATTTCTGTCAACTGACTCTTCAGATCCTTGCTGGCTAGAAAATACTAAATTTTGAAGTTTTAAAGACACATGTTTATTTATTACGTTTTCCACAATTTTATGAACGCTATTAAAAAAAAGTGCACTTTGATTTATCCAGAAATGAATTAATTCGATCTGTGAAAACTAAATTTTTCCAATATTTACGTGCAAAAAAAGACAACGTATATATTAAGAGATATTATTCAATTCGAATTAAACCCTGCTTTTTTGGCTCCAATCCCATGTATCACGAATTTTTTCCTTGTTTTCCATTACATCCACTAGTTGACATGAAAATTGAATTTGAGCCTATGATTGATGGACGCACTAGCCATAAGCTATATTTTATGTTCCGAACATATCGATTTAAAAAATCGTAAACCAGAGACTAGAAATTAATTTATATTAGGAATAAAACTCAATTTACTAGTATTCTACAGAAATAAAGTACTGAATATGGTCGTCCATTGTATTTTATATGTCAGTACGTCAGAACATGATAATTATTACAAAGCAAACTTGTTTGAAGTATTGTAATACCAAACAATACACTGCCGCTATAATTCTAGAGAACATCCAGACCGTCCTTTTTGTATTCATAAAATTTGCAGTCTATTCTAAATTAACTTGACAGGGACTATATTTAACTTTCATACAAATGTCAGCTCATAGCTTTCGGTTCAGCAGGTTTCTCCTATTAAACAGGAAATATTTTTAATTTGGTTTATTTCAAACTTCACGTGTATATTCCCTATACCTTATATAAGCCAGTAGAAATCAAAATACTAAATTATAAAGAATTTCATTGTTAATAAATTAAATGGAAAGGAATTAAAGACTTATTTCGTATCTATTTCAGAAAAAGGCGCGAATCTAGCGCTGACTCCGGCATCAGAAGCATGGGTTCCAAGTCTCGAAGGGACTCCCACCACACGGCCATCTCAGACTTCAAAACGGAAGTAGCGAAACTGTGGCAGCGTCGCGAGAGCATCACCACCAACACAGTGGTCACTGCCAGCACCATGCCTCGCAGAGACAGCGGCGAGTCAAGCAGAAGCGGCAGGCGAGACTCAACCACCCATTCCCACCACACCTCCCGAAGGGGGTCGGGGGAGAGCGGAAAGAGCGGCCGGCGGGACTCCACCACGGCTATAACGCCACCTCCACCCAAAATAGTAGCGGCTAAGAAGAAGAGACGGGATTCCCGTACCATCACAGACACTCCTTACTACAGACAGGAGCAAAGACCCTCTACTTCCTCCACGGCTTCTGACTCGGCACCCGCGCAGTACCTTAGTACGGCTCCGGTGACAAGCAGTACTTCGGATACTAGCACCCAAGCTCTTCCACCTCCTACAATCATAACTTCCAGCGTGACGCCACCTGCCACCTCACCAACCGTACCTACAACCACTGCGACAACTCCAACACACCCGCTGCTGTCTACTAGAAGAGACTCGACGACGCAGTGCGGGCGACTTGGAAGGAGAGACTCCAGAAGTCACGCCAGTCCAGAGCGCAGCAAGCATTCTCGACTACAACGTCAAAACACCGCGTACGATGAAAGTTGTCTACCTCCTGGGGGTTGGAGTAGAAGAGGTTCACAACCAACAGCCCTAAGCCCAGACGTAGACGACACTGGTCGCAAAGCCAGACGAGATTCTTTGAGCCCCGACTCAGCCTCTAGAAGCAGAAGAGACTCCAGGTCTCACCTCAGTCCAGACCGATCTGGAGAACGAGACATTAGCCCCGTACGACGCAGCAGAAGAGGCACTTTAAGGAGACAATCGACCAGCGTAGCCGGTGGACGTCATGGCCACAGGTCACCAGATTCATCCAGCTGCTCCAGCAGAGACCCGAGCCCCTGCAATCGCCCCGGGCCTCCTCCAACTACCGAGAATTACAGACCTGCCATCCGCAGACAGTCCACTACCGAGGAGATTCTGATCGCGAGGGGCTTCCGAAGACAATCAACAACCGAAGAGATGATCAGGTGTAGAAACTTCCGAAGGCAAAGCTCCCAAAGCGACGACTGTCAGAGGTACCGCGGGAGGAGGGACTCCAGCGCTCAGATCCTCGATGGTACCATAGCCTCTATGACCGTGGAAACATCTAGTACGTTTTTTGATTCTAGCACGCAAACAGGTAAGGGGGACTTTGAAGGGGGATCTGAATTTGTGAGGGAAGGAGTGTTGATCTAAAATATATGTTGTGAGATGTGAACTGCATTTCCTGTAAATGTAAGCCTGGATAGGCTCATGTACACTTAAAGCATGCACCTCTTTGCATAGGTATGCACTTCCCTTTCTCTTGATGTAAAGGCCAGTTGTACCAATGGAAATGTGAAGGAATTTAAACTTAATTAGTTTGGCGCATTTGATAATTAAGTGTTCTTGTGGCTGTCGTTAATGGTTGAATGATTTCCAATTTACAACTCTTGACGTTTCGAGAGACATATCGCTCTTTTCCTCAGAGGTTACTCTGAAACTGGAGATCTACTAATCTTGTCACTATTTACATTTGATGTGGTCACCGATCCATGACTTTCCGGTGGGTGACCTCGTACGCGTTGTTGACCTTCCAGTGGGTTGCTTTCACGGATTTCTCTTCCATATACCTGGCAGATCCACACCACTATCCCTGTTGAAATTATTCAGATTTTTGAAAATTTCTAATGCTTCTCTCTATAGTCGGAGCCAAAATCTTCTCTCTCTCTCTCTCACACCACCATGTTGGCTTCACTCAAATCCACTGCGTGTCCCGTGTCTGCCCTATGCTCTGCTACTGCCGATTTATCCTAATTGTTATTTTTGAGGTGACTTTTTTGTTCCTTTAACCTCATGTTGAAGTGCCTTCCTGTTTGTCCTATGTAGACCTTTCCGCAAGAGCAAGGAACATTGTACACACCGGGGCCCTGGAGCTGGTCGTTGTTGCAGGTCTTTGGAAACACTGCCGCCACCTTCTTTACAGTGCTGAATAACTTGATATTCCTCTTCATCAAAAGACGCCCGATTTTATCTGTACAACCTTTCACGTAAGGTGGAACGTCAACAACGCGTAGGAGGTCACCCACCTGAAAGTCATGGATCACATCAAATATAAATAGTGACAGGATTAGTAGATCTCCAGTTTCAGAGTAATTTCTGAAGAAGAGAGCGATATGGCTCTCGAAACGTCAAGAGTTGTAAATTGACAACGAGGAAATTAGCCATTAAATCATTCAACCATTGAAGGTCATGATTCGTATTGGAAGTTCATACTGATTTAAATTATTACAAGATTTCAGAAGAATAACTTCTCTTTCCCATTGCTGCTTGTGAAGAATTACTACAATAACTATCATACAGCTGGTTGGAAACATATTTGTCCATCTTCATCCTCAAATTAATTGTCATGGAAAACTGTTCTTACCCTTAAGCCATATATTCGTGAAAATAATATATTCAGGAGTTTCTAATTTTTATATCTTAAATTTGCCACCACACTGTTTTCATTAAATGTTGAATTAACTTCTGTTATAATTGTTCCAGCATGTGACTTTTGTTTGTCTTTTGTTAAAATAATTTACCCAATGTTTCTATGTATCTGGGCTATATTAGTGAAAATACCAACAGTTATCTAATAAATCGTTGCCTTTGGAGAAAAATATCATGACTATGATGAAAGGAAATTATAAAAGCAGCGAAAATGAGCAGTTTCTTAAAATAACAACTCCTTAAGGGAATAATATTGATTTAGTTCGAACTCTCAAATAATAATAGCTTTATTGAAACTAATAGATTTGCTAAGTGATTTATTATGAAAATCTGTTGATGCTATTAAAGCAAACAAACATCTAAAAACCTTACAAATGCCTCATTACAAGTAGAATTTTTATTTATTTAGTCTTACAACAATTCTTGCAAATTATTAAGAAAAAATATATTTACCAGTTGGTCGGCTAATAAGATAAGATACAACATATCTAAAAGAAATGTCACCTCATCAACCACTGAAACTAAAAATTTGATTGTCTGTTGTAATAATTGACGAAATTGAACTGATTATCTCGGGGTTGTAAAGCCTGCACACGCTGTATATAAAATGGTTAAAATTGGTGTTAGTGTAATGTTTTCCAGTCTTTGTGATGAGACATCCGACTTTCGACCATTTTGCTTACGTTCACCGTATACGAAAACTATATCAAATTCATCAACGTCATATACAGGCTGTCTACTATAAGAGGACCACTCCTATGTATTTCACTTAAAAAATAAAAAATCTTTATATGTTTTTGGTTACATTTCTTGGGGCCTTTATGCTCGTAAAAACAAATTTGAGATCCAACTTTGTGAGTAATCATAAAAAAAACCGGAAAAGTACCGAAAGTTTAGAGTCGTCTAACTTTTCTATTTTAAGAGATAGAGAAAACTTATTTTAATAAAATTTCATGGCAAAATTGATATCTTTCACCTAATGTAAACAGATTTTTAAAGTACAGTATGTAATTTGCTGCGCCCTCTACACGGGCAAAAAAAATTATCAAAAAAAATACAAAAAACAAAAAATTGCTTGTTTTTTCCTCTTTCGTACGATATACTACATGTTGCATTTATCTTTTACATTTATTACATTTTTTACAATTTTGGTATAAAAAATGTAGACATTTTCGTGTTTTTTTACTTTAGAGAAAACTGAGCCTTCAACATTGTTGTTTCATAGACAGAGTAGCTTACCCTAAATAGCACGCTATGAAAACAAATGTGTTATCAGAGCAATGTCATCATTTAACAAATTGTTTATTGTTATAGTTTAAACATAACTGTTGGTTTGAAAATTGTTACAGTTTACTAAGATTTGAAAAACAATAATTTTGAATAATAATGATAGTTTCACATATTGAGAAGTGTAATATGTTTGTATTGTACTATCAATGCAATTTCAATTCTTTTCAAGCACTTGCGGAATATAGAAAACCTTCGCTAATAAAATCGCTGTTGTTAATAAAATAATTAAAATCAATTGAATTTTAAATTATGTGAATAGGAAAAATGAGCAAAACAGTAAGAGATTGAAGTAAACTACAATTTAGAGAAGGGTAGTGCAAGAACGATATTACGAAAAAATGGTTTCAATTGTTTTAAGGTGAAAAAAGTGCATCACTTGAGGGACGAAGATAAACCTAGGAGATTAGGGTTCTGTAGGTGGTGACAAGAAAGAAAGAGGGAAGATCCTTTTATATGCAGAAGAGTTCTCTGGTCAGATGTGTCTAATTTTTGTAACAATGGATTGTTTAATAGAAACATTTGCTTCAAATGGACTAATGTCACGAAGAAAACTGCATTTCAACAGAGGTTTTCAGTAAATGTTTAGATTAGAATTCTTGATACCTAAATCATAGGACCTTACTTCTATGATGGTAAATTGATGGGTGTCAGATATTGCAGATTTTTTGCTGAAAAAAAGTACATTCATTAAACATTTTGTAGTTGGCATGTTTAAAAAAATTTCTCTATTAATCTACATTTTTGATACCATAATTATAAAAAATGTAATACATATAAAATATAAAGGACACATGTAGTATATCAAAAGAGGAAAAAACAAGCAATTTTTTTGTATCCACAGCATGCTTCGATGACAATTTTTTTTGACCGCAGCAAATTACATTCGATACTTCAAAAATCCGTTTACACTAGGTGAAAGATATCGATTTTGCCATGAAATTTTATTAAAATAAATTTTCTTTATCTCTCAAAATAAAAAAGTTAGACGGCCCCAAACATTCGGTACTTTTCTTGTTTTTTTTTATGATTACTCATAAAGTTGGCCATGGATCTCAAATTTGTTTTTACGAGCATCAAGGCCTCAAAAAATGCAACAAAAAACATATGAAGATTTTTTTAAGTGAGATACATAGGAGTGGCGTTCTTATAGTAGACAGCCTGTAATTTCGTTTAAAAGTAAACATGCTATTAAAAAGTTTTATTAAGGTTTTCTTTCAAAATTATCTGATTTAATGCCAAGAAATGTTAGTTAAAACAAAAACCTAACTTTCAGTGACGCCCTGTATATACTTACTGTCTGATTCCGTATCTACAAAGCGTATCTACATTTAAATTTACCAATCACCAAAAAAGTAGCTGCTTATATGAACAAGTAATTGTTTTGTGATGTGTTGCAAATTACAATAGGATTCTGCAACAAAATAGAGTCTAGTAAAGATAAAAGTTTTTTCATTACACCAACTTACTTAGACTCTCAGTCGTGATTTGCATCAGAGCAACAAGTTCATTAGGAGGCGTAATGTTCTGTGCGAAGATGTTATCAGGTATAAAAGAGTCGTAAAGTGAAACGTCATCGAACGTAGTTAATATTTTATCTAAGCTTTTTCGAAGAAACTTTGCCTTTCATTAAACATTTTAACATTATGTCCTATGTCGATAATAAGACAGGGTCGTCTCACTGTGCAAAATTAAAGGGGCCTGTATAGGTAGGTCATTTTTTTAATTCAAATTCAATTTAACGTAAATTTATTGGCAAAATTAATAGAAAAAATATTAAATTCTAACTTTATTTATTTATTCAATTTTTTTCCAAGTATATATTTTCTTATATTTATCGCAATACTTGACTAGTTCCGAATGGAAACATACTTAAACCGTCTAAAACTTTGAGAGAATGTCAATCCAGCGCTGTCGAAGGAAAACGAAAATAGTTTAAACGTGAATAGAGTTGTTGTTTATTCAAACACTCCCTTTAGTCTGAGTTGGCCATTCCGTTGCGAAACTCGTTTTTAAACGAACGTGACGACTGTGCACCAGTTTGAGTAATAAGTGGTGTTGCAATCGGCTCTTCCTTGATAAGTTACAACCGCTTCCTCAAGCTGATAACGCTGTTATTTTATTCCCTGTCAAATTTCGCAGCTAACGAGTTTACATAAACTTAAATCAGGTTGGCCCCGGAAATCGGAAGAGACCATTTTGTTGCTATTTATGGGTCAGATGGGGAACGCCTACACAACCATTATTTTAGAAAAAAGAATTAATGAGTCAATCTATACTTAAAGAAAAATGAATAAATAATTGAAATTAACTCTTCATTCAAATATTACATGTGCGATATTGCACTAAATTGTTGAGGCTTTTGAGAATTGTTAACTAAAG